CCCTAGTGTATATGTGAAAGAGGACAGTTTGAGTAGTTCATGGAAGAGAGAAGGTGAAGTAAGAGAAGATGGAAGAGAAAGGGAGAGAGATGAGGGAGATGGAGATGGAGAAGAAGAGGATGAAGACAAAGAGAATGGAAGTGAAGAGGGGGAAGGAGGAGATGAAGGGGGAAAAAAAAGAAGGAAGAAGGAGGGAGTGAGGATGGAGAAGAAGAAGAAGGAGGAGAGGAAGAAGGAGATGAAGAAGAAGAAGAAGAAGAAGAAGAAGAAGACGAAGATGAAGGTGAAGAAGTCTCTTCCTTCTTCTCACCTTGTTGATTCCTTGATGTAGGTGTCCTCTTGATGAAGTTTCCACTCCTTGTACAATCCCCTCTTGGCTATGGCTTCCTTCTTCTCCAAGCCCTTCTGTCCTCCTTCCTTGCTCTCTCTCAGGCTATGGCAAGCTCCCCCAGCTATGGCTATGGAGTTCTCCCCTCTAGGAGGGCTAATGGGGCTCCTCTAGGCGCTCCTTCTCTCCTATACCCAGGAGGGATATGGCGGATCACCTCCCAAGTGTCCCTCCTACCATCACTAACCTCTAGAGTCTTCCCCACTACCTCCTAGTCTCCTCTAAGCTCTCCCACTAGCATGGGCTCCTCCCTCCCCACTCCAAGTGCAAAGGTGCTCATGTGAGCTCACTTGGGCAGCATGGACATTCCTCATGCAAATGTGAGAGTGGCGGACTGCATCCTCAGCTTATGTAGGCTGAAACCAGCAGTCCGGCCAGCCCATGAGCCTCCCTATGAGCCTTGAGGTGAACCGAGGTACCCCCAAAGCAAAATTCCCTTACTAGGCCCTCCTGGAGGTACCTGGGCCTCATTTTGGCCAAGTACATGCAGTCCGAGTGGTTGGTACCAACTCAGACTGCCTCTTGGCCTACTCCGGCCTCCTTTTTGCCTCACAAATGCTGCCCCCTTGGGTCCTTGTGCCCAAGGGGCATTTTTACTTGAAAGAAAAAAACCTTGTGGGCCTTTTTTTTCGATTTTTTCAAGTTTCGGCCTTTTTTGAGTAGGCCGGAGCGTTTTTCCATGAGGCGGCACATTTCCAGCCTTGGATATGGCTGAGATCCAAGGCCAGCAATAATCCGAGCTACCCCCTAGTAGCCCTTGCTTCAATTTCGATCCCCTAAGTCCAGTTTTTCAACTTTTGGTGCATCTGGCTCTCTTTTTGGGCCAAATGCAATGTTTTGTCATTTTCCCTTCTTTGTTTCTTTCCATTCTGGGCTGCCACCTCATTCCGGAGCTAGCCGTTTGGAGCTGGCCCACAAAAAACGGCTAGTTCGTCTCTACCATGAGATTTGATCTCAAATCCATGACCCAAAAGAAAACCGGTCACTTCCTTTTCGTATTTTCTCTCATTTCCTGCTTTTTAATTCAGATTTTATTGAAATATGGCCCTAAGGGCAGTGCAATCCAGATTGCCCTCCCTCATTCTAGGGGGGATGAGGTCACAGTTGGGACCTGCCAGTCCCTATTGTGCAGGTCCCAATAGGCCGGCACATTCTCCTCCACTATTTTCTCCCTTTTTGTCTCATTCTCCCTCCTTTTTCTCTCCTTTTTCTTTGTTTTTCTTTTATTTCTGTTGTGACAAGTGTCAATCTGTTGTGCACCCTCTTTCTAGGCCCTAGGGCCTCATTCAAGACCAGGTTCATAGCTGTTATTTGGCCGTTACATCTCGGATTCCAACAATTGCACCCCCATGCTCCTAAGGGACTCTATTTTGCTCCCGTTTGCCCATTTTTTAGCCCCTTTTGCTCCGATTTTCTAAGGGCAGCCTTTTTCTCATGTTGAGCCTCTCAAGGCTCTATTTTCTTATGCCTAGCTAGTCCTAGATAACCCGGACTTATGGGCAGCCTTCTCAACATCATTATTTTACTTTTCTTTCTCTCATGGCTCTCCCACTTGCTCCCACTAGTGCTTGCACTACACTAGTGCTTGCACTAGTGGTGCTAATATTTTATACCGTCTAGATCCTTGATCTCGACGGTGTCGCTTGCTTGCATAAATATTCCTTGTACTTGCTCACGGTTCCCTTGGGACACCCCAAGTCCCGGCCATCTTCCTCCATACTAGTTTCATTTCCTCGTCCCGTCGGTGGTCCCGCCGACGCGTGTCCCGTTTTTTTCGATTTTTATTATTTGGATCCATTTGGTCTCCGACAACATTCCGGACGACGTCCCATTTTTATTTTTTTTTTGGGACCATTGTCCTTGGTGGTCCCATCATTTCTACATGTGTGCCGATTTTTCTACGCCGTGAGATCTCATCTCACGGTCGTCGTTTACCGTTTTTACTTGCCCCTTGCCGAAATTGCTCCTTTCTAGCCTTCCGGGCTTGCCGTAGCCCACTTCCCCTTAGCCATGACATCCCCATGCAGTCCGTAATTTCTCGGACTGCAGTCATGGCTGTTTTCTACACCCACAGCCCCACAACTTGCCCCATGTTAAAAGAAGATGAAGCGTTCAATTTCCTAGTGCATCCGGGCTCAATATTTGCTCTGGATGCACCTAGAACATGTGTTTTCTCTCCCCCATGCAGTCCGTTGCAACTCGGACTGCAATGGGGGTTAATTCCTGAGCCCCAATTCCCTACAACTAGCCCTTACTCACAAGAAAAAAAAACGGTCAACTCCCAAGTGCATCCGGACTTGATTTTGGCTCCTGATGCACATAAAACATGTGTTTCTCCTCATGCATGTAATCCGTTTTATTTCGGATGCATGGGGCCTTGCTTTTCTTTGATTTTCTCTGCAATAATCAAAGAAAATCTAAGCCCTTTGTAACCGCCATATTCCAGAATGAATCTGGTCACGGACGAATCTCCCCAAGTGACCGTTTTTTACCGTTAAGGTTTTTTTCTCTTTTCTTTTCTTTTCTTTTCTTTTCTTTTCTCCTCCTTTCTTGGACAGTAGAGACTTGTCAGTCCCCACCTATGGCAGTCCCTACTGACGGCCAACTCACTCACTCCCTCTCACTTTTTTTGTCTTATTCTCCCACATTTTCTTTTCTTTTCTTTCTTTTTTGTAGGATGTCAAATGTGAAGTGGCCGTTAAGGCCCTTTTCTAGCCTCTTCCTCTTAGTTTTGGCCCTCTCTATGCCCATGGTGCAGTCCGTTATTTCTCGGACTGCAATAATGGTCTTCCCATATTCATGGAAGCCTCCTTTTACTCCTACATTTCTCCCACAATGGTTCGTCCTACTCCGATTTTCTCCCGGAGGGCTATTTTTCACAGGGGGTGTTATTTGACTCTATTTTCTTAAGGGAGGCTGATCCGAGATTTTTCGGATTGCTCCTATGCCTCCCACTTCAGTTTTCTTTACTTTTCCTTTTGCTTTTGACCTTCCCATTTGTCACCACTAGTACTTACACTAGTGGTGCTAATATTATTGGCCGTCAAGATGTCGATCTTGACGGTGCACCTTGCATTATTATTTTTCCCTCATGCGGTGCCGCCGTTTCTTCTTGGGACTTTCACATGTCTCCGCCATATGTCCCGTCAGTGGTCCCTGACACTTAGTCCCGCCAGTGGTCCCCGACACTTAGTCCCGTCGGCGGTCCCCGACACATTTCGCCCCGGATGCCATTATTTTTACTTAGTCTCACGTGGCCCCGGGTGCCTTTCCCCAAGGTGTCCCATGCCCCTTGGGCGTCTTGTCGCCCCATAGCGACCCCTCTCCTTAGTCTTTCCTCGCGCCTTAAGCGTGCCGATCTCTTTGGTCGTGGGCCTTCGCTCCGAGGCTCTCGTAGGTGGCCCCCACGTTGGCCCCTCATTTCCTGGCTTCCCACGGCTTCTGGCTGCCCATCCATGGACTTCCTCATTCCCTTATTGCTGTTGCACTGCAATTGCTAGTTCAAAGAGCCCTTTGGCCTTAGTCTTATTGCATTCCGATGACCCTCCCGACCTCTTGTTCCTGCGCTCACTCGCTTGCTGCCGCTTAGTTCTTTCCCTCTGTGGTTCTCGCCCCAGGGCATTACTCCCTCCTGCGGCCTAATCCTTTATCTCGTCTCACTCTGGATTTCTCTGTTGTGCACAATTTGTCCGTATTCAATCTCTCGAGTGATGGAAAGTTATTCGGGACCCACCAGTCCCGACAGCGCTCTCCCTGAGGTTCGAGAATCTTACCTTTGAGGGACCTACTGCACCTCTGTCTAATGATATCTTGGTTAAGTCTCGGACAAGTCCTCATGAAATGCCCGATCATTGTACAATATTTGCATTGTTCATTGGCCGGGTCCCTTCTGGGGAAACCTCGATTGGCTACTACTGCCGATATTACGGCTTCTTGGGGCGGGAGGGCGGGTTGGGACACCTGTGCCTGCATTACTAACAGCGCATTTTTCATTCTGTCCATCTTGCTTTCAACCCCGTGCGCCCTTTCATGCAGGCTCTCTATTCCCTTTTTGACCTTATACCCCATCTTCCCGGTCAGGTCTATAACCTCCCCTTCCTTAAGCAGGGCCAGGGTCTTAGTTACCACTGTCTTCTTTGCAAGATCTGTTACCGTACTAAAATCCACATCCCTTGTGTATTCAAACTTGCTGGTCTGCTGGTATGCTGACAAAATCTTATCCTTATCAAACTCGAAGAACTGCCTGAGAAAGTATTTACTCATTATGCGGTCTGTTACCCCGGAAATTCGTAGAGCCACTAACGTAAAAGCTCTTAGGAAATTGTTGTAGGTCGCATAGTTTTTCCTCTGGATTGCTGCTAATTCGGCCTCTGTTGCCATGTTCTCTGCCTTCAGGTAGTTCCTCATCATCTCGTTCCTAGTTTCTTTCCATGATCCACTGGAAGCGACGATGACCGTAATGTCCTTTCCCAAGCTTAGCGACACGTGCTGGCCTAAGTGATCCATCTTTTCCTCTTCCGTCCATTTTAGTAAGGCTGCTAGGTTCTCATAGTCTATTAGAAACTCCGTAATGTTTGCTCCAACGAACGTGAGTTTCTTCTTTGCATCTGCGAGCTATCCCTAGTTTTTGTTTAGTGCTCGGGTGAGGGTGGCGACTATCCTCTTGAGACCACCATCGGAGCTACCCGCTTCTCCAGCAGCACTAGTCCGTTCCCCTTACTTACTTTCCTTCTGCTTCTCCATGGTTTTCGGCATTCCTTCTGGGTCAAACCATCCTAACACCCTTTCCCTAAGGCTCCAGAGTCCATCGCACGACCCTGTTACTTTTGGCGTGGCGGACAGTCGGCGAGTGCCGCTGTCAATGGCGGGTGGGGTCATAGCGTTTTCCGTCCCTTCCGCCGGGGGATCGTTCTTGTCGTTCCCCTTCTTGTTAGGTGTTCCCTTGTGGCTATTATCCTTTCCTCCATAACTGGCCTCGTCCTGACCGATCCTGCGTCCCTCACGTGACCCTGCGCCCTGGGGGTCCTCCTCATCCTCGGCCATCATCTGCTCGATAAGCCTTGCCTTAAATTCTGCAGTCCGATTTTTCTACTCTGCCAGTTTACGACGGGCATCCGAAACTTTCGTCTTTTTAGGGGTGGTTCCAGCTGAGTTCCGAGGGCTTGTTCTCATATCATTTCCCCCTTCCCTGTTTTCCTGAGGTCCCCTTTTGCTACTCCCAGCTTTCCCCGAGCTTTCTCCAGTTGAGAGGTCTTTCCCGTCTTCTCGGGTTCCTTCCAGTTTGGCTGACTCTCGATCTCTGGCTGATCCCTCGTTTCGTTCTCCATCCCCATTCGTGCCCTGATTCCCTCCGCTCTGATGGTCATCGATCCCTTCTTCAGTCGCCATTCCTTTACCTCGCCTGCACATATAATTTTTTTTTTAACGAAAAATGGCCGGTTGTTCATAACCGCCCTAGCCCCGACCCTAAAAACCGCCTATTCCCAAGCTTTTTGTGCCTTAGATTACTCGGTACGACTCTCCTGACTTTTCTTTCCCAGGGCGTCCTTCAGGTTTTTTTCTGTCAGGGGACTTGCCACCGCTGTTCGACATTTTATTACTGCCGCGCTTTGGCTCTTAGGGCGGTGTTTGGGCCCAGTGGCTTCCTTATCGAGGATGACCCTTTTGGCTTTTCGACCTCCAAATGCCCCAGACTTTTCTGGTCGGACGGAACTCCAACCACTGCCCCCCCCCTTTTTTTGTTGATGGCTGCCTTTTTATCTTAGTACCCATCCCTTATTTCCATATCTTTCTCCGACACATTTTCTCATGTTGGTCCCTCAGGCCTGCCTTGCTCATCTGGTCCCTCGAACAGGTCATCCACCCCAGCAAGGTAGTTTTCTCCCATCTCTATTTCCCTTACGATTATCGGTTCATATTCCTCAAAAGTCAGGCGAGGCAAGTCGAATATCAAACTTTCAATAAGGTCAAGCAGTTCCAAGGCCCGATTCCCCCAGAACGGCCCATGCTTGACCGATACGTCGTAAAACATTCTCGTCGTTTGTGGCTGGAAGTGGTGGATCCAGACCAGAGTCGAATCCACCAGGTCCCTGGCTCTCTTGAGGCTACCGAATACCAGGTCCACCATGAAGCGGGGGACTCGGCACCTCAATCATGTCATTGGGGCCTTAAATTCTCGCCAACCTCCTACCTCCACTTGGGTTCTCAATCCCACGTTCCTTCTCCCCCGCACTTCCTGGCCTATCCGGTTGAGTATCCTAGTAGCCCTCTGGAAGATTGGTAACAACCCGTGTCCCAGTGCCAATTTCGTTCCCAACGTGTACCACCCCAGTTCCGACAGGTATACGGTCCTTGTCACCTTAAGGTCGGTGTACAGATCGTCCCCTGGTCCCCTATTAATCCTCATACCATCCCACAAACATTCCACTATCATGAACACCTGATCCCTTCCCAAGGTCACGGCCCTCCATTCGGTATCCAGTCCTCAGACCATGTAGCTTGCTGGGAGCGATACCTCTCATCCACCTCCACTTTCCATGGGTGGCCGCGGGTACGTGGGCCGTCGTAACATCCGAGCGCGTCTCGCCGCCATTTTTGGCTTAATGGTCTCTTGCACAGTTTAAACAACAAGCGAATTTAGTTATTTCATTTAATCTTCAGCTCCCGCCCGAATATTCCCCGGTCTTTAGCTTGAAGCTTCTTTTCCTCTCTATTCTCTTTCCTTTCCTCAACCCTTTTACTGACCCGTTCCCATTTCTGTCGGCTCATACAATCGGCACAGATCATCCACGTACGCCATCCCTCGACTTATTTCCCGTCGAACGATACCCCACAGGACTTCACTACTAACGACTGGAGCCCTTGGCCTAGTACTAAACACAGCGCGTAGGATGCACAGCACCTCATACCTCTGTTCACCGCTGAACGACCCTATTTCTAGGAAGGCCCGATAATATTCTCGATGTACCATCCCATCTTCATACGTCAGATTCGCGAGGTCGGCTACCGCTCGTCTAATAAGTTCCAGATTGCCCAATTTCCCCACCAGAAAGGGTGGCAACCTCATTCATACATTCGCACTAAGCAATTTAAAACTCCCGACCATGGCTACCCTAAGGTCCGCCGTTATGTCGTCACTTCCTGGATCCGCGAACTCGAATCCCACTCGCCATACTAACTGCCATGCCCTTTCCAACATACTCAGCGGGTCTTCTCCTGATGCCAACCGGACTCTGAACTCCAACCACCCATCCTCTGATACATACAGCCCCCCTTCCGCCCGCACATGTCCCCGCGGGTCCGGGTTCCATTCCCCATTCTCATCCGCACGCCATTCAACCCTCGTCACTAGGTAAACCATGTTTTTCACAAGTTCAACCCCGACCCAATCCACCACCGGGTGTCATCCCTCATTTGCGGTGGGCAGGCTAATTTCTATCCTACAATCCACATCCCTAGGCGGCTCAATGCCCAGCGGGCGGTCCTCAAGGAACGTCCTTCTTTGCGCCATCTGCGCTCTTGTCCTTGGTCTTCTCTCTTGCAATCCACACTGAGTCCTACAATGGCCAGACATCCCAACCCCTTATCTTAGCAATTTCCTCATGCCTGCCTGGCCCCACGACTTGATTGCTCTTTTTAGTCGAACCACAGCACCTCAAATAGTTGGAACACATCATCCACATAGCACGGTGTCGCTGCTACTTCCCGGCGGATTATGACGTCCCTAATTTCCTGGGCTACTTCCAGCCGGTCATTCCTCTCGATGTCCAAAATGGTAAGGACCTCCCGGGCTCTGTCGCCATGGAAAGGTCTGAGTTTCAGGGACATTTTATAGAATTCTTCTGCCAACCATGCACAGTTTACGTGTATCCGCTCCATAGTGCCGGCTACTTCCGCAACGTGATCAAAGCCCCCAGACCAGTCCGCGACGAATTCCGGCACCCAGGTCTTGGTCCATGCGCAGGGCGGCTTAAATTCCTTCCATCCTCCCATCACAACTCTACTACTAACCTCATCCCAACCTTTGTTGGCGAACCTTTCTCCTGCCTTTCGAGTCCTTGCCTCGGCACCCTCCAAAAGCCACATCAAATTTTGTCCCGCAGCAAGTGTGGTGCAGAACAGATGCCACCCCTGCTCTGACAAGACGACCGTCCCAACGGACTCAACTTTCCTTTCTGTGATATCTTCCCATCCTTTCTCTTCCCTCAATGGGTTCCAGACACGTTCTATCCATAGGTATGATAGCTCTGGCACGATCTCATACCCCCGCCAGTCACACGTGGTCCTCTTCCATTCATTACCCATCGGTATAGACATTTCCACCCTACCTCTGGCTCGCCTTGGTTCCCATGTGCAGTCCCACAGCAGAAATTTTTGGGCCATCGCTCCCTACCTGCACATAGTCGACATCCCGTCCCTGGGTAAGTCCCCGCCCCCCTTTTTAGAAGTCCCAATCCTCTACTTCGTCCTCCTCATCACTATCACTGAAATTTTACTCCCCTTCTGAGAACAACTCCTTTAGTCCCTCTAAGAAGGTTTCCCCTGCCGCCAAATTCTGATAGATTATCTGCCAATGCACCGGGCTAGGGACAAAGATTTCATCCGCGCTGAGGAGGTTTAGTACCTCAGCTAGTTCCTTCGCCCAGTTCCCCTCAAACGGCCCCACTTCCACCGACAGTCTAAAGAAATTCTGCCGAGCACGCTGGTACAGTGTCAAGCGCGTCATCGACTGACATATCCGCTCCAATCTATCCTTGGTCCCAAAGACCGCATCCACCAAGAACGGAGGTAACACACACCTCATTGTCCTAAGAGGACGTCTCATATTTTTTCGATCTCCGAGTTCCACTCGCACCTCAAAGTTTTCCATCTCCATCTCCGCCCGCTGGCATGTCGCCCATACCACTTCCCGTTCCGCTTGCTCAAACAACTGATCTGGTGCCGTGCCCAATACTAGTCCCACTACCATTGCATTKTCCATTTCCTGAGATACGTAGACCCATCCTCGAGCTTCCACCGTTCCCCGAAATTCTAGGTCCATCAGGCTGGGTGAAAGTCTTGTCAGGCTGACCTTAGTCCAGATTGTCTCTATCCAGAGGAACGCGTCCTTTTCATCCAGCATCACAGTTTCATAGGCTGGTTCCAGGTCCGTCCACGTCCCTTCCTCTGGGAGAACAGCAAATACCCCTTCCCTTCTGTCTATGGGTACTTCCGGACCGCTAGAATAGACAGGGGGTGACAACCATCGCGCCATCTTGTTTGCCGGCTCCCGTCCTGTTTTTCACAAGAGAGCACCACATGGCCCCCTCTTGATCAGATTGCCTCCTTCTCCTAGATGAGAATTGTTTTCAGACCCCTCATCCGGGCCTTCCTAACCTTTTCCTACCCACTTCCCGGGCTCCATTGCCCTACCACACCCCCAATCGATCACTAGCGGCTAGCATTCCCTTTTCTTGGTTCCATTTTCTTCCGACTCCTATCCAGCCTTATCTTGATGTTCTCTCACTCGTGCAGACTTAGGCGGGGGTTGAGAATAGACTAGAAGCTTAGTTCCCATCCCAACATTCATCAGGCAGCTTCACAGAGGGAGACACAAAAAGCAAAATTCAGGCAAACATCGCACACAGGTCGGTCATCTCCTCACCGACCTTCTCCCCGAAAATGGTCTCTCCATTGTTACTATCGGCAGAGTTTTATCCCATACCTCAAGCACAGCTCAACCGTCGCAAGCGCGGTACGCAGACTCCAGTGGGGGGTCGCCCTCACCTTCTTGCCCAGAATACCCCATCCCGACTTGCCGCTCGTGTACCCACCGTTAATCTCGGGAATCACCCCGCACATCTCGGTAGGGCCATTGGAGCCAGCCGTCCAGGAATTCACTTCCATCGATCTGACAAGGAACAACCTTTCCCAAACCAAACTACGAGAAGCTACTAATCGTCTCCGAGGCTCCGTCTTTGCCCGCATGCAGCAGTACTCCCTCGACCAGTCCACAGGCTAGGCCCCGCCTAAGAAAACGTTTCACACCCCGTCCGGCAGATCAACCGAGCCGAAGCCCGTCACCGCGCGGACGAGGATGCTATTAAGCACCCGGCGTGACAAACTCTCGTTAGACAGCTCGGTGGCCTGACCCCCGCATACGAACAAACGACAGCCTGCAAAGGAGAACGACGTTTGACAACCCACAGTGGCCGGTGCAGACCCCTCCTTTCCTTCCAAATGGCAGGATGCTCGAATCCCCATCATGCAATCAGAAGTCCCTAGTGGGACACACATAGAACAAGTGCCTTTCCCTTGGTACACCCAGCGCTTCCTACCCATTGCTCACAGGTTTTTACTCAGGACAGTGTGTGTCACTCACCCCTAACTTCCATACATAGTGCCCGATTCTTTTTCGTGCGCATCTTCAAAGGTGAGCTAGTTTTCTTGGAGTCTAGCAACTCCCTTCATTCCTCTTATCTTCACTTCGTGTGTCCGTTCATAGGGCAGGATTGTTTCTTCTCGATTACCCTTTGTGTTCATATGAGGTTCCTTCAAGCAGTTAAGTGCGGTGCACGGAGCCCGCTGGGCTCCGAAGAATAGGAAGGAGAGCACCTGTGTCGGTCGGATCACCCCGCAACGGGATTTTCATCGGAACCCGGACTAGCCCAGAATCCCAATCGCCTGCCAGCTAACCGGAGCCCTTCTTTCACACGAAGAGGAAGGGTCGACCTGTGGCTTGCCCAAGGCTTCCCTGGTCTGACAAACATCAGCCCGAAGGAAGGAGGACTAGAATCACCTCCAAGGGAGATGGCTGATCAAGTGTGCGAGCATGCATGTTATTTCTCCAGGCCTGGCCTTGCCATGCGCCCAGCCGCCCTCAGATCTGATTCACTCAAGGGATAAAGCATACACAAGTCCTCGTTCCTTCTCTTAATGTTTATGTTCACGGTCGTGCGTCGGGCCCCCCCTCGAGACCGTATGGATCAGTTTAACCCATACTCGGCATCTCCACCATTTTTGTAGGGGCCGTATCCTGAAGGACTTTCGAGCCTGAGTCGACCCCACTGCGGGTCCCATTTGGCTCGACCCGCCCACRCTCACGCTCAGGGCGCGGGTCGTTCGTCCCAGGGGCACCCCCACCTAGTGTTATGAGATGGATGGGGATGACCACTTGCGAGAGGGCTTTACATTGGGGGATGTAGCTCCGCTCTCGATGGTAGCTCTTTAGGCACTCGTGGCATTTGCTCGATTCTTTTCCGTCTGACCAAGCAATTGCTCCTTCCAATACGCAGACAATCTAGGGAATTCATTGAGAGTTTATCTTCATTTCGTGTGTAGACCAAGCGTTATCCATTGGACCACACACCTTTTCACTAAGCCTAGCGACTCAAGATCGCCCCTGCGGCATCCTCGGGGTGGAGTGGCACCGCCCGGACCCCTAGCTGATGTATATTTTTTTGCTTGAGCCGCTAGCATCGCATTCACCTATCCGGAGTTGCCCTTAGTCTTTCAGCGCCTGGTATTGCACACAAGAGAGTCATCCCGTTCAGTCACCCTGCAAACCGTACCACGCCATCCGCCATTCATCCAAGCATCCAACCCTCAGTTGCATCCCGCATTCATAGTTAGGCTAAGTCTAAACTCTTCCCTTATCCCGTTCCTCCATCCTTGCCCGTGTTTTCTGCGGATCCAATCCTGCTCAACCCATCCCGGACACTCACCTGCACAAGACCACGCGAGCAAACACCAAATGCAATCCCCGTTGGGGTCAACACATCGCCCCTTCCCACATGCCTAAGTTTCCTTTGCCCTTCATGTTCCTTAGGTTGTCTTTCATCTTCCTTCAAGCAAACCATGCCTTCACCTTAGTCAAGCAGTCGGGGAAGATGGTTGAGTCCAACTGACCTTGTTACAAAAACAGTACTCCTTTCCGCTTTCTCCCATGCCCACAACAGTTTGGCGCTTTTCCTTCTTGGTGGCACAAAGGACCGACTGCCCTCCCCTTGCCCTCGCTTTCCTCCAAGTGAGGATCAAGTTCATTATTGTTCGTCCCCTGACAATGTAACAGGTGAGGGTAGAGGTTAGTTACGCGCCATGGAAGGGAAGGGACGAGGTGAGAGTTAAGGATCAAGGACCACGGGAGAAAGAGAGCGAGGGCAGAGAGGAGGCGAGGGGGAGAGAGAGAAAGAAAGAGAGAGAGAGAGAGAGAGAGAGAGAGAGAGAGAGAGAGAGAGAGAGAGAGAGAGAGAGAGAGAGAGAGAGAGA